CATCCCTACTGTAATGTTATGTTACTGTGCTGTATAATGTTGGCATCTGGCAGTGTGCGGGCCATTAAAGTGCAGAATTGCAGCGGCAGCATTCAGGTTTCGGTCTGCAATTAGGAATGCAGCAGGGCTCGAGTAAAGAGTCAATGCCTTTGGATATCTGACTCTCTCCAAACACCATAGACGCCTCAAACTGCTGCTTGACAGCCTGGATTTGCTTGCGGACAGCGTCCCATTGATCGCCGTCAAGGTTATAGTTTTCAGACGGGTCTGTTTCCAGGTTAAAGAGTAAAGGGGGGTCGTGATACTTGAGGAAGGCCAGTAATGAGCAGCTGTTGTCCGGGGTTGACTCGCTGTGAGCTGCGCCTGAATTATGGGTCAAAAGACATACAGTTGAAGCTCTCCTGTCAAATTAAATTCTATTTCAAATATTTCCCAAGTGCTGTTTAACAGAGATTTTTTTTCTAAACATAATAGTTTTAATACCTAAAATCTAGCAATTGATTTATATTTGCTAGTTATTTAGCTAGATGCTAATTAAAGCATTCAGCTTAAAGTGCCATTTAAAGACTTGACTAAGTTTAACTAGGCAGTTTATTGGATGACAGTAGTTTGTTCTGTAGCCAATCGAAACAAAAAAAATCCTAAGGGGGAAATAATATAAAAAAATAATTAGCAATCTTTTTGTTCTAGCCAAACTAAAAGAAATAAGACTTCCTCCAGAAGGAAAAATATCATATGAAGTACTGTGAAAATGTCCTTGCTGTGTTTATCATCACTTGGAACATATTTGAAAAAGAATGAAAGTTTCACAGGAGGGATAATAAACTTGTTTAACACTGTATCAGATATAGGATATATTCTAATATGGATGGTTTATTTATAGGGTGCAAAAATGGTGTACTTACCCCGAGTGTAGTAATGTGCTTTGAAATTTTCCCATCTCACTGCAAACACACCATACTTCACACTTGGATCAGTGGGGTAGTAAAACATGGTCTGTCTTTTACTCTGAAATGACAGTAACAAGGCAAAAATGGCTTATTTCCTCAACTTTGTATATATATATATATATATATATATATATATATATATATATATATATATATATATATATATATATATATATATATATATATATATATATATATATATATATATATATATATATATATATATATATATATATATATATATATATATGTATATATATATATGTATATATGTATATATATATGTACAGTTGCGCAGTAGGTAGTGCTGTTGCCACACAGCAAGAAGGTCGCTGGTTCGAGCCTTGGCTCAGTTGGCGTTTCATGTGGAGTTTGCATGTTCTCCCTGCTTTCACGTGGGTTTGCTCCGGGTGCTCTGGTTTCCCCCACAGTCCAAAGACATGCGGTACAGGTGAATTGGGTAGGCTAAATTGTCTGTAGTGAATGTGTGTGTGGATGTTTCCCAGAGATGGGTTCCGGCTGGAAGGGCATCCGCTGCGCAAAAACTTGCTGGATAAGTTGGCGGTTCATTCCACTGTGGCGACCCCGGATTAATAAAGGGACTAAGCCGACAAGAAAATGAATGAATGAATGAATGTTTACCAGGAAAGAAATTTTTCTCTGTATTTCCTGTAATATTTTTCTTGTGGAGAAAGTCTTATTTGTTTTATTTTGGCTAGAATAACCATTTTTTGGATAGTCTCCTGAACAAACTATCGTTATACAATGACTTGCCTAATTACCCTAACTTGCCTAATTAACCTAGTTTAGCCTTTAAATGTCACTTTAAGCTGGCTGGCATCATGGCAAAGATAAAAGAAATAAGTTATTAGGAATGAGTTATTAAACTTATTATGTTTAGAAAATATGTGTCTTTTCGTTAAACAGAAATTGGGGAAAAACTATTCAGGAGGGCTGATAAATCTGACTTCAGAACTGTACCTTTAAGAAATCCCCTAATATGGCAAACTGACTTACAACTGTTTTCTGTTGTTCTTCTTTTAAGCCTTTAAAATAAAATGCTCTTATGCTTGGGACAATTTGTACCGAACACTTGATTTCCCAGCATCAGCAGCAGCTCCTTCTGTGTCCTCAGATGACTTCAGATGTGTTTTCTTCATGCTTTTATCCATCTTCATGCGCAGCGCAGGGATCGGCCACAAATTGATAATGCAGCTCATTCATTTGTCAGTTAGCTGTCCTTTTTGCTTTCAGGCAGATTTGTAGATTTGTGTTTTTGCAGCTTGTTTTGCTGTGGATCGAGCGCTGATTCATGTTTGCTGTATGAAGTGTGCACTAATGGATGAATATGTGCTGATGTCACAGTGTTGTGCTTCAGTGTGATGATGATCATGTTTCTCCTGTGTGTTTATGGTGGAGGAGGATATAGATTCTGAATCAGATGCTGGCGCTTTGGGTCTTTATGTTGTGTATTTTATTTACTCCATCAAGCAGATTTTTGGAACAGATCAGGGAGAAGTGAAGAGATGTGATTTGGCAAAAGTTGCAATTGACCCTTCGCTAAGCTCTGCCCCAAGCGGCAACATCCCTCGGGAGGTCAATACGGAAATAACTGAAACTGCAATTCATCGAAAATCTGCTAGTCCTGGCTCCATAATAGAGCAAATTTCAATTGAGCCCACTGTTAGAATGGCCAACTTTACTGCAGAAAAAAAGGTGTTTACAGCCTGGTACAACGAACAATTTTGGTTCCTAAAGCTAATATTACCCTTCATGACAACTGTGAGGGGGTGAATTTTTTTATAACTCATCAGTTTCCTTTAAATTAGGTTATATTAAGTTTGCATAATTAAGGGCGTGGCCACTTGATTGACAGCTAGGTCTCACTGTCACCGTCACTTCACCTCAGCTGACTCCGGCAGATTAGCCGCTGATTTCGGCATGTTCATCATATTTCTGTGTTGTTTTCTGTGGCTTTACACAGTCAGTCGCCTTTTGGGATTATTTCCTACAATTATCAGATGATATGGGATGCTGTGTGCACTTAATTGTGCTCACAAACCATTCACGCGGCCTCCGTTTACCATGTGAGTAAAGTTATTTACTTGTAAACCATCTCTATAAATATATTTGTTTTATTTAAGATCATTTATCATGTATAATGTTCTTTAGAGCTGTAATGAACTCTACAATCTGACAGATTGATTAGATGTGGACTGTAGAACAGTCGTCTGAAGTGTTATCATACAGTGTTATGCTGGATGTCATCAATAGTCCTGCATTTACTAACACAGACTATATCTGAAGTGTTTGGAAGTCATTCGCGTTTTCCTCCTGTAGGAAAACATCATAAGAACAATACTCAGTGGCTCAATGTATTACAGCGGTGTTTTGAAAAGACTAAACACTTTTATATATATATATATATATATATATATATATATATATATATAGAGAGAGAGAGAGAGAGATATAGATATAGATATAGTGTACAGCCAAGCACATGTGGTCAGAACACAAACGAGTCGCAGGTGATAAAGTATTAAAGGGCCATTAAACCCCCTCGTTTCAGCAGGGTGTTTTCACACCTCTACTTTGGAAAAAGTCAGAAAAGTGGGCGTGTCCAGCTCTGTTTAGGGGGGAGTGTCGGAGGAACTAAAGTGGGATGGTGTGGGAGTGTCTATTTGGGCACGCGCGAGTTTCAGTCAAAATTCACACACAGGAGAAAGTGATGGTGTTTAACCTACATGGACATCTGTAGTCGAATTATTTGCCAAATTATTAAATGTTGGACTTTAACTGCAGTTTGGCTATTTCATTCAGGGAATTCATTCATGCCCCTCGTGACAAACGCGATATTTGATTCGAGGATCTGATCTAAGCGTGTATTTTTCATGCAATGTTTGATACCGCACGGCGAATGAGAGAAAAAAAAAAACTCCGCATTTCCCAGAAACTTAGATGCACACGGCAGGTAGCGTCAGAAAGCCGAGTGTGTTATTCCGGTCACAAAATGCGGTGCTATGTTTGCACTCAGTGCAATAGTTAACTTTATTCGATACGAACAAACTGAATAAACAAAGAGCACTGGTCGCTCACTTACCAAATCTGTAGAGACAGGACAATCACCAGCAACTAGAGCCGCGTCTATATGGAGAGGAGACTAACGTTATAAGCGAATCCAGATTTCAGCGTTTGCAGATGAGAACAGCTCTCAGGTAAACAATGTTCCTCCTTAGACACGTAAGTTATTGTTGTCGAGCGTCGCGTACACTGTTAATCCACACGTGTTCCAGCTGAGCTCTCACAGAGAGAAAATGAAAACGAAACTTAATGGCAGTAAACTATAAAAGCAACACTTCACGCTTGTTTTGCCAACACAACGTGGCGTCTCTGTGGCGTAAACACTGTGACACTAATGAATATTAATGAAGTTGTACTATAGAGCGCGCTGATTGGTTTGAACCAAGCCTTACTCATGCATTAATGCAGTACACTGTAAGACGTAATAAGACACACTCTGGCACAGACGTCCAGTCTGCATGCTGGAATACACGCTATTATGTCATGACCGTGACGCAGCTTCAAAAATTAGTTTCAAACAGGAAGTACCAATTTGCTTGAAATAACGCAAAAACAACCAATTTACACTTTTTAGTGAAATATAGGTGTCCTAATAGTGTTTTTAGCAGTGAGGGACACATATACCACTGTCAACAGTTCAAAAAATGTGTTTTGGTGTTTCGTGAGCCTTTCAGCGTTCTCCCAAAGTAAAGTGTGTCTAAGGCAGGTCCAAGCAAAATGCCAGCAGTGTCTGTAGCTCCGCTCACTCTCCGCCTCTTTGCCCTTGTTTGGTATCCCGCCGTGAGTGCGATGGTGCGCAAACAAAATTGTGACGGTTGGCTACTTGTGGCTTCTTTCTCTCCCTGCGTTCGTGTGGGTTTCCTCTGGGTGCTCCGGTTTCCCCCACAGTCCAGAGACACGCGGTACAGGTGAATTGGGTAGGCTAAATTGTCCATGGCGTATGAGTGTGTTTGTTTCCCAGAGATGGGTTGCAGCTGGAAGGGCATCCGCTGCGTGAAACATGTGCTGGATAAGTTGGCGGTTAATACCGCTGTGGCGACCCCGGATTAATAAAAGGACTAAGCCAAAAAGAAAATAAATGAATGAATAAAATCTTATTAAAAAGCCCTTGGCATTATGTCCTGGAGCCAAAATGTGAGTCTGAATTATTTTTGAGTGCACAATGGCTTGTGTGAGCGCAGAGCACTATTAAAACTGCATGAAGAATGTAAACCATACAACAATACTTCATAAAGCTGAGGAGGTCAGTGAACTAGAAAGAGCCAGTGAATGCAGAGATCATCAGTTCAGCGACAGAGAAGAAGAAAGAGGGTGGTTGAGTTCATGCCATCTCAACTTCAGTCTTCTGCATTTCAAAAGGCTGAAACAACAGCGCTGGCACCACTCCATCAGCTTCAAAAGCAGAATCAGACATATTGAAGAAACAGGAGAGCAGATTCTGTCTCGGAGAACACACACACACACACAGCATTAATGAGGAGTACAAGACTGCATTCACAACCGCACCACCTGCTGCAGCTTTTACACATTTATGACTCTTTGCAGTCAATGGGACAACATGACCTGCAACACGATCAACACATCAGGAGAGTAAATACATCTAGTCTGAAGAACTGACCGTCGCTGGGTTGGTTTAGTGGGAATTTTAATTACATTGGCAGCAATGCACAGGAAGTTGAGCTGGGATTTAAAGGGTCACGAAACACCAAAACACATTTTTTGAGCTGTTGACTGTCGAAAATGTGTCCCACACTGCTATAAACACTATTAGGACGCAAATATTTGGATGGAATTTTTGAAGCTGCGTCACGGCCATGAGGTCTTAGCATGTTTTTCAGCGTGGAGACTGGACTTGAGACTGTACCTGGGAGTACTTTGTAACGTCTCTGAGTGTGCTGCATTTATTCATGACTAAGACTTGGCTCAATCCAATCAGCGCGCTCTATTGTGTATTAAGGGTGTCATGATTTAGACTTTAAATCTAAATCGATCGAAAAT